TTTGTATACATAATAGGATTATTATGGCTGGCCATTCATATCCGAGGATGCCTGTCTACTAGGGCAGCTAGCCAATCCCTGAGGCAGACGCATGCTCAGACACATTTGTATTTGTTAAGCACCCACGGAGCTCAACTATGCTGAACGGACCATAGAGTTTCTGGGAGAGAGATCATTATATGGTGTGATCAACAGCCAGGTTGCTGAGCAACTCTCGGTCACGATGACTTGTGACTTCATGCTAGCTCAACCTTCAGCGGTTCTCAAATATTTCCGTCTGTTCAATTTCTATCACAAGGTCAAACCGTGGTATGGTTTTCATGCACTTTCCAAAGGTGCCTCATATTGGGATCGTCTCCCCCAAATCTTCGATATCAGAAAGAAGTCACCTTCCTGAGAAAATCGACCATGGTGAGATTCGAAACCGGGTCGGAAAGCGAACATTCTAACTACATGCCCATATGATTCATTATATGATTATATACTTATAATATATCTATTTTAAAGACAACATTTGAAAAAGAGAAACCTCTCACTTTGTTCGACATCTTTGTTTCTCTTCATTCTGCATTATCGGTTCGAATAAAATATCTCGCCCATAACCGAATCGATTTCAATTGTACGCGCGACACCCTACCACTAGACTAGGGTAACATTAACAAAAACAAAAAAAAAGGCCACAAGCTCCTCTCAAACGTTCCCATTACAACATACCTCCGCTTTGAATCCAGAAACCCGTTGCTGAAAGTGGTTAGACATATTGTCATAAAAAGAACTTGTTCCTTGTTCAACTCAGAACGTTATAGAAAAAAGAGACTTCATCTTTTGTTCGATTCTTCTTTCTCTTATTTCCACAATATGGCTGCTAATAAACCGATTTCTCTTAATCGTAACCAAAGAGATTTGAGCTGTATTTGCTATATCTTTCCACTTGACTAGATCATTAGTCAAAAGAACAAGCAGATCACAATTGTAATAAAACGGATTTCACTATACACTTGTTGATTTATGTCTTCAAATATTTGCATATTTTTCATTTTGATTGTTACTGTGCACTTCACGAATATCTACAATATACACAAGACTTATTTTGTATTCCATAACAACATATTCACATTACTTTAAAAATCACCCTACTACCCATGATTCTTTTAATGATTGATACTTAATAAAGTACCCATGGTATGTAGAACACTAGTACAGTGTAACCCGGATATAAGAGAGTTGTCGGGACCGGAGAAGAAGTCTCTCATATCCGTGTTTCTCTTATATCCGGGTTTGGTCTATTTTATATACATTAACACAGGCTCTAATTTGGGACCAGAGAAAATCTCTCTTATATCCGGGTTTCTCTTATATCCGGGTCTCTTATATCCGGGTTACACTGTATATTTTTTGTTAATCTTTAGTACTGGTGTCCATGTTCGATAAAAGTATAAAACACCTCCGACTTAAGATATTGTGAAGTTACGACCTTTCGTATGTTATTATTAAAATTCAAATTTCTTTCATTAATCAATGAAAATACCGAAAATTTAACTAAATTCCATTAATTAGTGGAATTTTTGTAGAATTTTAATCCATATCCCCCTGGAGTCAGTTTGACTGACGCCATCTGTTTTCCATATCACTAAATTATAATTATCGGATTATAATACTGCTTGTTTTTTTTAGTTATCGCGTACGTTACATTCTGTCAATACCTTGTAAATAATGGATCCTTCCGTTTTTGGAAACACGAAAAGGACATATCAGAAACGCTGTTTGATTTCGGTTATTGAATGAAAGAACGAAAGAAAGAGAAGATAGAGGAGCCACTAATACTTTCACATGTTTAACATCTTCAATAAAATAGAAAAAACTTGTCAATTTAAAATATTTTCATTTGTACCCTCTTACTTCTTTAAATAGTAACTTGCATTCATAACTATGTTTGTTATTGCAAGATATTTGTTAAAGTTGTTTTCTCTCAAATATTTATTTCCTCTGGTCTTTTGTTGTGTAATTACAAGGTGCGTTTTTTTATTAAATGATATGACACCTCAGAAAATAAAAATGGGAAAACCGTGACATTTACGGGTACAACTAGTAAACTAAAATTTTAGAAGGTAAAACTTTCATTGAAAGAAATGTTGGAAATTTTCTATGATTTCATCTGAAATCAAGAAAATATAAACTTTAAGTAAAATCTTCACAATATATGAAAAAAAAAAAAAAAAAAAAAAGAAAAGAAAAAAGGAAGAAAAAAGAAAGTTGTTTTCATGTAAATAGATTTTTTTGTCAAGGTGTGTCTGTTATAAATTGACTTTATTTGAATAATTATGAAGTTAACAAGCTATCGACGTCACAGTTGCACAAAAGATCAGATACCAAATATATAACAAAAAATATTTATTTTTAACAATTTGATTTTTAAGGTTGAATATGCAATTTCTTTTTAATCATTTCACCTCAAGCAAGGCAATAAAGACATTAAGACGCAAGGGGGTCATTGAGTGCGAAAGATATAAGACACATGCTGTTAAATATCAATGATAAATTATATTTATTTGATATGAAAGTTTTACATAATATACACATTAGTTATCAGCAATGAAAAAGTACCATTAAGTTGGGTAAAATATGACACATGTTAAATATGTATGATAAATTACATTTATTTGATGGGAAAGTTTTACGTAATGTTTTCACGCACACGCGTCTAAACAACTTTATATTATATTTTGGCGTTTCAAGGAGACACACGCAAGCACGGATAATCTTTTTACTGTAAATATCACGTAAGCAAATGCTTTTACGCTTTTCCATAGACTTTCCAGATTTGATTTCAGTATCGAATTTAATAGGTATTTCTATCGATCAACGGAGATATTAAACCTTTTCTTTTTTTAATTCAGAGAATTAAAAAAGGTCTTCTTTTTAGGAGACACCTTTGTTGCATTAATTGTAGCCAATGTGTTTATCGACTCAGCATAATTTAGTTTAACATAAAATCAATGTAATAATTCACCAAGTGAGGATCGAAAACTCTGCATTAAAAATTACCCTTCGACACGTACTTACTAACTGTCGAGAGTCGTGTTTTGCCGCGAGACAATATTTTTTTTTACTTGTCAAGGCAATTGTCTATGCGACAACGTGCCAAAAATCCAAGCTTAAAATCCATTTATCATAACGAATTAAAACACGTAACTCTTTAATATGACAAAGGATAGTATTTGCACAAGATGTAATAGTATTCGAACGTTTTACGTTGAGCATTATCAATGTTGTGGCAAGAGTCAGTTACCCTCCTTACTGTCATAAATGGACTTATCCATACATAATTAGTTGTCTAGAAAGAGAGGATAATAGTAATGTACAAGGAGATAGTGCCGAAGGGCAGAGTCTTGTCTGGGGAGGTAGACAGCTACCCGATCACATGTATATGGGGGTCTACGGGTAATTTTTGCCCAAGTCTACTGGTTCGGATCACCCCAGGTAAAAAAAAAAAAAAACGGCCTTGGGCCACATCCCAAGATCTTGGGTAAATATCGAAGATAATTCTATTACAGTGACTTGTCTAGCTGAGTATTGGATACTACTATCACGTCTGACACTGTCGAGTTAAGTGTTGTGTCTTTCCAAACCCCATATCACAACAATCAATTATTATTATTATTTTTATTAGTATTTATTTAACCGTTTTTCTATTGCTTTTAATCGTAACTCGCATATCTTCATTCGGTGAACACCAGCAAGAGTACAAATCGAAAAGCTTCCGACGAGTTTCGTAGCCAAATCGGTAAACTGTAAGGAAAAGAACATCTTTCAAAGAAAATGAATACTAGTTCGACCAGCTTTTTATTTTATAATCATTTCATCCCAAAGCAAGGCAATAAAGTCACTAAGATGCAAAGGGGGGGGGTACTGAATGTGAGAAAATATGAGGCAAAGAAAACATTATTAGAGAGAGACAAAAATAAAACAGACAGAAGATAACGATTGGCACTGCATTTAAATTTTGAAGATCAAAAGAACTGCAACGCAGGAAGCCGGAAGAGAGCTTCACAAGCGGGAAGTGTGATAGAAGAAACTGTTAGCATAGAACTTACGGTTATATATATCCATTTCAAAAGTAAAATTTTTGTTTCGAACTATTCTCATGTAAGTCCTTACCTTGAAATTTATTTATTTTTTAATCATTACACCCCAAGTAAGGCAATAAAACCACTAAGGCGTAAAGGATTACTGAGTGTGAGAGAATATCACAAGCGAGAAGGACTAGCATACTAACAACCGCAGAATGACGATCTGGTAGTTTCGATATTCAGATGAGCTTTTACGATTTTTGATTTCAAACAATGTTCAGATTCCATCTTTTTGTTACAAGCGTAATGGATAGCACCTTGGAATGAGAATTCGGAGATCCGAGTTCGAATTACAGTCGAGGTCGTCACATTCACTTGCCCGCAAATACCTTGAGAAAAGTATGAATCCATCTCTTCTCCCCCACACCTATGGGTAAATAGCGCGACAGAGTGGGTCCTATAGCCTTGGCTCGAGAAAGAAAACTGAATACAGGGAAAATGTAAAGTTTTTTGGCAGGTATTGGAATGAAGGGGAGAAAGAAGGAGAAAATGTGAAGCTCTTTTGAGAGGTATTCGGAGGAAGGGAGAAAAGAGAAAATGTGAAGCTCTTTTGTCAGGTGTTCGAAGGAGGGGAGAAAGGAGGAGAAAATGTGAAGCTCTTTTGGCAGGTATTCGAAGGAGGGAAGAAAGGAGGAGAAAATGTGAAGCTCTTTTGGCAGGTATTCGAAGGAGGGGAGAAAGGAGGAGAAAATGTGAAGCTCTTTTGGCAGGTGTTGGAATGAGGAGAGAAAGAAGGAGAAAATGCGAAGCTCTTTTGGCAGGAATTGGGAGGTAGGGAAAAAAGTCAGGCTACAGCGGTGCTTTTACAAACCTAATTGGTCACGGGACTCCTGTCAATTCTGATACATGCTGACCTTCTTCTTTGGTCATTCAGATTTTAGATTTTGAACCTCGGAGCAAAAGGTCACTTGTAGTCAGTAGCATCCCTACATCGCCCTAAAAGCGGGAACAGGTGGGTACTTTTTTACGTCCCCAGATATGACTGTCGTAATAAATTTCTGTGTATCGCGTTTTGTTTCAGGCAGTGATGAAGAGTAAATAACCACTTAATCTCTCTCTACCGACGGATATCCTTTTTCTTTCTAACGCACATACACACATACCTATGCACACACACACACACACACACACACACACACACACACACACACACACACACACACACACACACACACACACACACATATGTAAACATACAATCACTGAACCCTCAGCGAAATACTAATTTACTGCAAATTCCTTGAGAGTCGATTATACACACGCACATAATAAACACATACACTCACAAACATATACACTAACACACAAACGCACACACATTGATCAAAATAAGCAGACAAGAAACTTAATAACCTGTGAGTTCTGATAACAGAAAATGGAAAATCTGAGAAATCCGGAGGTGAATTATGGTGTAAGATGCCTTTCAAAAGCTAAACAAAGTATTAAGAAACAGGAAAATGTTGCTAGTTTACCCCTCTTTGATTTGCTTCTACATAATACCAGTCCTTCTCTTATATGGTAGTGCATGCTGGACAATTTCTGATAGATGTCACTGTGAGTTCGATCCGCAGTGAATGCCTGGAAATTATGGCATTTCAAATGAAGTAGATGAATCTCTCCTTATCCCGTTTTGATGTCTGCGGATAGTTTTAGTCACCCACGATCAACCCCAGAAATAAAGTAATCCATGATTCGGCAAACATGGATAAACGTGCCCAAAATAAGACGTACAATCAAAAGGACGGTTTTTTCCACATGACACCGCTTTTTTTAAAACTACCTTCGGCAATGTTTATTATTTTAAAAAGCAAGGATTAGAATTGGAATAAAAACTAAACATAATATGAAATTAAATTTACGCATTTTTGTTCTTGAGAATTAGCAACAAAATATTAAACACTATTAATTAGATTGTTTATTTACAAGAATAACTTTATATTTACCACAATCAAAAACTAACGTCCTGGGTAAGACGATAAACTACATTCCGCGTTCTGGGTAAGATGATAAGCTACATCCAACAGCAATGCCTCTGAGCAGCAGGTTTTGAGGAGCGTGGATTCACCTCTTAATTGCTGGTTTTCCCGGGTCCACTCTAACCCTTGTTGGTAGCACCTGCTAGGGTCCCAGCTATGGGCCAGTAGTTAACCCCTAAACTGTGGTCAAAACACTAGGAAAGTGTAAAATAGGTTTTAAGAGCACAAATACTTTGAAAAACTATTATCAGCAATATATTTTTGAGGAAAAAATTATTGCCAGCAATACATTATTACCCTCAATACATTTATAAAACAAAACATTACCAGTGATACATTTTTTTAAAAAAAAATTACCTTTTGATTTGCTATTTGTAAAATATGGCAATTGTAACAATTATGATCTACGGTAAGAAAAAAAATCGATCCGTCACATATTACTGAATATTAATATAATTTTTTCTGTCTTATTACTTATTGTTGCTTATCTTTTATTCCGCCTTATTCATTAATTAAATTTTACATAGTTGTGTATGTATCGAGAAAATATATATAGGATTGGATTACAATCCAGGGTTTCAGGTATCCGCGGGTTTGAATGTATTCTACGTGAATAAAGCGGACGATTGTACCTATATTTGTTAAGCTGACATACGTTTGCGAGACCAGACTTGAGTTTTATTGGTAAAAAAAAAAAAAAAAAAAATCAAATGCACAAGGCTTTCTTTATAAAAAAACAAAACAAAAAAACCCTATTAATGATTTGCCGGATTCGTTAACTATGACCCCGTAACACAATCACGCATTATACACGAATGCATTTGAAATATTTTGTGGATGGCTAATACTGAGCTAAAGATAGTCAATCTTATTAACAATGAGATTATCCATTATACAAAGGATTAGCAAACAAGTGAGTCTTTTTTTTAAGTTTTCCAGTCAATAGAGTTTCCTGACACTGAATGTCATCGTAGATATTAATATTTATAAAGATTAGCTTACAAAGACACAAAGTCAAATGGGAAGAAATGAAGGTAGGAAGAAGAAACTTCGTTAGCTTATGTTTTAATTGATACGCTGTGTAGTCCTTTTTTTTTCTTCTGTAAACATACTCAAGTCTTTCTTCTTTTTGTTTATCCATTGGTTCTTCAACAACCGTAAAAAAACTTCTGCTTGACACGAGAAAGAGACAACCCATTTTTATCTTCACATTTTCCCCTTTCAATCTTCTTTCTCCCCTCCTTCCAAAAGAGCTTCACATTTTCCATTTCTTTTCCCCCTCCTCCTAACTCGTGCCAAAAGAGCTTCACATTTTCCACTTCTTTTTCCCCTCCTCCTAACTCGTGCCAAAAGAGCTTCACATTTTTCATTTCTTTCTCCCCTCCTTCCAACTGCTGCCAAAAAGCTTCACATTTTTCACTTCTTTCTCTCCTCCTTCCAACTGCTGCCAAAAAGCTTCACATTTTTCACTTCTTTCTCTCCTCCTTCCAACTGCTGTCAAAAAACTTCACATTTTTCACTTCTTTTTCCTCTCCCCCTAACACCTGCCAAAAGAGCTTCACATTTTCCCCTTCTTTCTTCCCTCCTTCCAACTGCTGCCAAAAAGCTTCACATTTTCTCCTTCTTTTTTCTCTCCTCCCGACTTATGCCCAAAAAGCTTCACGTTTTCTCCTTCTTTATCCTCTTCACCTAACACCTGCTAAAAAAGCTTCGCATTTCCCTTTCTTCTTCCCCCTCCTCCCAACTCCAGCCAAAAGAGCTTCACATTTTCCCCTTCTTTCTCCTCTCCTTCTAACTGCTGCCAAAAAGCTTCACATTTTCCCCTTCTTTTTTCTCTCCTTCCGACTCATGCCCCAAAAGCTTCACATTTTATCCTTCTTTCTCCCCTCCTTCCAACTGCTGTCAAAAAGCTTAACATTTTTCACTTCTTTTTCCTCTCCTCCTAACACCTTCCAAAAGAGCTTCACATTTTTCCATTCTTTCTCCCCTCCTTCCAACTGCTGCCAAAAAGCTTCACATTTTTCACTTCTTTTTCCTCTCCTCCTAACACCTGCCAAAAGAGCTTCACATTTCCCCTTCTTTCTTCCCTCCTTCCAACTGATGCCAAAAAGCTTCACATTTTCCCCTTCTTTTTCTCTCCTGCCGACTTATGCCCAAAAAGCTTCACATTTTCTCCTTCTTTATCCTCTCCTCCTAACACCTGCTAAAAAAGCTTCGCATTTCCCCTTCTTCTTCCCCCTCCTCCCAACTCCAGCCAAAAGAGCTTCACATTTTCCCTTCTTCCAACTCCTGCCAAAGAGCTTCACATTTTCCCTTCTTTCTCCCTCCTTCCGACTCTTGTCGAACGAGCTTCACATTTTCTTCTTCTTTTTTCACTCCTCCCAACTCTCGTTCCGCTGACCATGTGTAGGAGTATCTCGTCTCGTTCTTATTTTTAGTACTGCTCAGTTATTGCTTGCCCATTTTCCACTGAGTCCAATTAAACACTGTTCGACACAGAGATTGAACTTATAATTACTGCCATCAAATTCACTAGGCCATTAATCTATTGACCCTTAACCTAAAAAATTACTCACTCGTGCTAAAGAGAAGTAAAATCTGAGACAAGTTTTTATTAAGGCTTGCAAGAAAGGAATATGGTTGTATTAGAGAGTTTCCAGGCTGTATTTGTGGCAATTTTAACGTTCAACGAAAATGAGCACGCAACTAACACCCAGGACCGGTACAATGGTCTCGTGCACCTCTGAATCTCGGATACGGAGCCCCACAATCTACTACTTTTCAATTTTCATAAGCTAGTATTCATATAAAATACAAATTTTATTGTAACCTAATTATGTACAATAACTGATCATATGCAATACCGTGAGTCCCCCGGGGGGTTAGGTACCAGAACCGGCCGCTAATAGTCAGAATCCGCGAATACTTGTAACCCCCTCCCCAAAAAATGTGCTTATAAGTACCTATTTTGATTGTTAAAAGCCCATATGCCTCAAACTTTCATCCTAAACACTTAAGAAACATTTCAGACCCTTTTAAAACATTTTTGAAAAATAGTATTGGTGACCATACACTTAGCGTAAATTTTCTTTCATACGTACAACAAGCATTTTAATTACGCATAGATCAATACAACCATTGAAAATACTGTATAAAATATGCGTAACAAGACATAACATATAAAGTTAAAAATATTTTCTAAAAACTGAACTGTGATGATGCCCCATAACCCACTTTTAAGACCCTAGCCCCAGCCCTTAACCTAAGAACAAAGCCCAAGCACTACACAAATTTTTGCGTTTGTTTTTACAATGAAGATGTACAATTCTGTCAATTTTTACCATAAAAATGGACTGTTATATGTTTTAAGTCACTTAAATAACAGGAAAATAATACAAAAATAATTTAAATATATTCTATCGAAAAAATACGCGAATCGAGAGAGTTCTCAGCGAATAATTTGTACATATGTTCTTCAGAAAAACATGCGAATATTCGGGATTTCCGCGAATAACAAGTACATATGTTCTAAAGAAAAATCCGCGAAGTGTGAAGCCGCGAATGATGAAACGCGAATAGGCGGGGCTCAATGAACAGGTGAACAACTAGAAAAAACATGAAAATAAATACAATATATCTAAATGCGAATTAAAAACATATAATAAATCACTCCATCTTAAATAAATCAACAATGTTTTGCGGCAATTTCTAACATCAGCTTGAAATATTTCTTGTTAAAAAGTTAAATAATTTTAACACATTCAACATTATGGATAAAAATTAGTGCTTTTTTTCGAAACTTAGCATGAGCAAAAAAACAAATCACAAATTTGATAAAAAAATAAATAAAAGACTTCAGAATAATGTCAAAATCAGTAAAAATCTTTCATCCCT